CTTGATTATAAAGACTCTTTTTAATACAGATTTTCAATTTCATTCAAATTTTTTTCACTATCAAGTGGTAAGTATTCACTCATGGAGCTCATCAGTACACGGTGATACTTACATGCACCTACAAAGATATTTGGAGAACAGAGAAGGAAGTCTGTTTTTCCTCCTGACACCAACCAATTCTCATAGCAACTGGGTGTCCTACAGTTCTGGTCAATTCTGACACTATTTCTGAGTTAGTGTCAGACTCCACAGTTTTAAGGAGTCAGTCCCACAATATTAACCTCGCTCCAAACACAGGTCACAATTATTGAGTCCCTGGAGTACCTACACTTCCATCCACTTTGGCTACAAAGTCAGGGGTGCCCACAACGTCTTCCTTCAGGTTTGATAAATTTCTAGAACAATTCACAGGGCCCAGGTAAACACTATACCTACTAGATCACCAGTTTATTATAAAGGATACAACTTAGGAACAGCCAAATGGAAAGGATGCATAGGGCAAGGTATGGGAGATGGGGATTGGAGCTTCCAGAGCGTCTATAAACTCTCTAGGTTCTCTGCCCTCCCAGCAACACAGTGGGTTCACCAGCCCAGCAGCTCTCTGAGCCCCATCACATAGGGTTTTTACGGAGCTTCCCTTGGGTAGGCATGGTTGATTAAATCATTGGCCATTGGAGATTAACTCAATCTCTAGCCCCTGCTGAAAGTTCCAACCCTCTAATTAATCATGTTTTGGTTTTTCAGGTGACCAGAAAATATGCACACCTTGAAATACATTCTTTCAAAAAAAAAAATTTCCCTACATTTTTTTCAAGGCTTTTATGATGCTAATTTCTCACATTAGTAGCTTGTCTCTTTCCAATAGTTGACTAAACTGAAACCAAATTATTTATATGCAGAAAGATTAGTTTATTTACTGCTTTTTTTCATTAATTACAGTAAAAAAAATGCTATAAAAATTTTATATTTGCCACATCTTAAATAACTGATTTACAGTTCTTAATGGGTATCAAAGGATCAAGGACACCAAAATCATGATTTAATCAAAATCCTAATTTAATACATTAGTTGCAACCTCATTATTTTTTCAAGAGCAAGCACTTTTGTTGGAGCTGCCAACAAGGAAGCAAAATGTGACTAATTTTCTACTTTTCTCTATTTAAAAAAGGATTAATGAATATAAATATATCCCAATTTGATATTAACAGTTTCTACAACACATACTTTGGAAACTTTATTCCTGAATAATTGGGCTATTGACTATTTCTGGAACATAAATTAAGCCTTCCAATTTAATCTTATTTACACCTGAAAATTAGAAAGGAGGTTTCCAGATCACTTTTAGTTTTCTTATTTCAAATTATCTCCTTTGATAAATCTTTTTTCTTGAAAAAACTTATTTATTAAACTGCTAGACTCTGCCCTTCTTAGTTACAAATAGCAGCATATCCAGATATATCTTTCATTCTGCTTTCATAATTTACTAACAAAGTTAAAATGCATACAGGAATATTTTAAAGAAGTCTACTGGAATTTTTAATGGTATTCTGGTATTTTTGTTTGTTTGTTTAAGTGAGTAGAAAAGGTCATAGAGAGACAATCTCTTCTGAAAAGCACAAATACAGGTTCACAATCCCTTGTCTAAAATCTTCAATAAACTATGGAAAGTGAAAGGTTTCATATAGCTCCATTGGTGGCAAGACTAAACCTGAACAAACCTGGGGCTTCTTTCTAGTCTCTGTGTAATCCACAAGTGCTAATATTTCCACCTTTATTGCAGAAATATAAATGTGCTGTGCCCAGGATGCTGGCTCTGGAAGTATTATATAATATACAAGGTTTAATGTATTCTTTTTCCAAAACCTGATAATATCTGACTTAAGAGACCTGTCTGGCCACAAGGATTTGAAATAAAAGATTATGGACATGTCCTAGAAAATAATAGAATGAATGTTCAAATTGCACAAAGAATAATGACTTATTTATCTGGCAAGTGATCCATGAGCACAGATATTTTATGACATGAAATTTGGGAGGAGAATCAGAGAAGCACCAAATTGACCTTCATGTCATTAAGAAAACTGGGGGGTTTAGCAGCTACAGTTGGAACCCAGGCAGTCTGGCTTCCAAAGTCAAGCTCTTAAACCACACGATTTTTTTTACTGAAGGTTTATCCTGAAAGCCTCCACTGTCACAGCAGAGTGAAACTGACTCTCTCAGCTGAAAGCATGGGGATTTTGTGAAAGTTCATACACTTATGAGTAAAATCCCAGGCTCCAAGAAACTAGCAGCCCAGCTGATACTCCCCAAGTATGAAATCAGAGGGTCCTTAAAGAGAAAAATGAGTAGCCCCCAAGAAATAAAACTATGGGAACTGACCTCAGGTGAAATGCACATGTCTATTGCTGACCTTGCACACAGTACTTCCAAACAGATATTTAGTGCCTCTTTTGAAAATAAGAGGAGATTCAGAGATTGCCAAAATGTCAAACATGAAACAGATCAAAATAAATAATCAATAAATTCAGCCTAGATGGGAGAGAGGAAATACAAAGAGTAAAGAAAATTTCAAATAATTTATCATTAGTACCTTCAGAGGTTAAGAGAAAAAAAATATTACATCCATGAAAGCAAAACAAGACACTTTAAGAAAGGAGGTTGCAACAGAGAATAAGATAGAGCAGCTGGAAATTAAAATTATGATAGCTGAAATTTAAAAGTTCAATAAAACACTGTAAGATAAAGTCAGTGAAATTGCCAGAAAGTAGTTCAAGAAAACAAACAGAAATGAGAAAAACTGGAGAATTTATCCAGGAAGTTCAGAGGCTTATTTCAAAATAGGTTTCCAGAAAGAGAAACAGAGAAAATGGTAATAAGAAAATTATTAATTTATGGAATGGCTTCAAGAACAGAACAACATGAGTCTCAGACATGAAAAATCCTGAGGGCCTGGCAAAATAATTTGTTCAAAATCCAGCACATTGTGGAATTTCAGAAGACTAAGAGTAAAAAGAAAAATGCTAAGAAATTCAGAAAGAAAAAAGCAAACAATATCACACAAAGGAAAGTAATTAGAATGCTATGAGATTTCTCTACAGTAGTACCAAATTCTAGAAGACAATGAACAAGGCCTTCATATTTCTTAAAAATAATGTCTGCCAGCTTAGAATTCCATACCCAGCCAAACTATCAATTGAGTGAGTATAGCATTAAGTCATTTTCAGGCATACAAGGACTCTGAAACATTTATCTCCCTTGAACCTTTTGTTCAAAGGTCATTCAGGAATGTGCTTCAGCAAACAGGACAGTTTACCAAAAAAGAGTAACAATGGAGTCCAAAAACTAGACATCCAGGGACCACCAAGCAGGCCTAGAAACAGTTTCAGATTCAAAAGGAACAATTGGAGTTAGCAGGCTATGAGGGAAAACACCATGGGGACAAAACAGAACTGATCAAGTAATTGTTACTGTGTTTGAGTGTTTGAAAATAAGTGATAATTGTTTTAAAGATTTCTAATAATTTGGTAAGGGACAGGTATAGCAACAGATATATGGAAAAATGGGAATTCATGGAAATATCTTTTCAAAATTAGTGTAAAATAGCTATGGTACGTTGCTTGGCTCAGCAGTAAGTAATGACATGGTACTATAAATTTTGATGACTAATTTAATGAAAGATCAAGTTTTTCCAAGGGATCTACATCCCCAAAACTGTAAGATGAGCCACTAGACATATGTAAAAATAAAAATTTCAAAAATAAAGGAATGTAATAATATTACTGACAAATAGGAAGAAAGATACTAAAAAAATGTCTGCAAGAGTTGAAAATGATTGCTTCTGGGGAGTACACAAATTAAAAATTGGTTTCCCATTCTGCAAAATAATCACTGTATATACATTCAAAAATTTGATATGTAAAATTACAATTTACCTCATTATTGGTATTATTCTGTTAATACTTGCCTTTTCATTCATAATATTATTTCTAAGCTAACCATATATCATGAACATCTTAATTCATGTGGACCTCGTACCCTTTTCAATCATTGTATAGGATTCATTCTCTGATGTATCATGTTTTCTTCTTTTTGTCAATCCCCTTTTTTTGGACACTAGGGTGTTTCTGATATTTTGCATGTAGCAACAACACTTGGATGAACATCCTTGGTACATTATTTGTGTCCACATGTGCTGTATTTTCCTAGACAGCATTGCTAGAAACTATAATGCCTGTTGAGATTTTACATTTTGCTAAAGATTTCCCCATTACTTTCCAAAACAGTGGACAAATGTAGACTCAAACAAATCTTATTATCTACAGATAATGATAATTTTGACTCATGCAGTAGTTTTTTTTTCTTTCTTTCTTTCTGTGATTTTCTCATATGACAAAAACTTTCTGGAGAAAAACATTAACATTGATAAAATAGAGGGTTTGCTTACATTGTTCCCGAATTTAATGGGAATACTGTTTGTCATAATTGTTCTCTGTATAATTTTTTTCAATGTGTGGTTTTCTTTGTTTTGTTAAGAAAATTCTAGTTCTACTTTATGAAGAGTTTTAATCAGAATAAATGTTAAATTTTATTTAATATTTTAGCATTTATTGGATTGTATTCATTAAACAGATATATTCTACAGAAAATAGATAAAATATTTGCTGTTTAAGTACACAGCAGAATGGTTTTTTAATTACTATTTCAGAGAGCAGATCTGGAGAATTGTGCTTCGCATAAATACATGAATTTTTAAAACCAGATCTGAATGATGGGTTTACTGTTCTGGAAGAAGATTCCCTAAAGGTTTATAACTCTTCTTAGTCATTGAAATACAGATGACTATTTACTTAACTGATTCAGAGAATTATCCCTTTTTGTAAACATGATCTTTAAGAACGTTTTTAAAAAGCACTTCTCATATAGTCATTGAGCTGTATTTGAAAGGCTGAAGAGTCCTTATGAGACTTTTCAATAAATGTACTTTTGTTTTTCCTTTTTAGGGGCACGGCAATTGCCGGCATCGTGTTTGGAATCGTGTTTATCATGGGTGTCATTGCTGGGATCGCCATATGCATCTGCATGTGCATGAAAAACAGCCGTGGGACCAGGGTGGGAGTCATCAGGGCCGCTCACATCAATGCCATCTCCTCCTATCCTGGTAAACAAAATTGCTTACTCCTTCTCAAGGAAAGGTCAGATTTATTAGTTATGCTCTACCCCTTGGAGACAAGAAATATTAAAGACTCTCACTGAAATAATCTCCAAGTATGTAGTGTATTTCTAAGTTAATATAGATAGAAACTCTAGCTTTCGATGGAGAATTACTTAGCTCTAAATAATAAAATCTACCTCATATTTGAAGACATTCATATGTTCAATGGTTGTCTCATTGAATACAATTGCCAATCAGCCAGAGTTAAGAGAAATAGACAAGTCACACCCACTATGTCTATCTGCCAGTCAGTTCTGACAAATAATCGTAAAATATAAGTTACATGTCTAAATGACCTGACATCTGATTCAATAGTTATGTATACTTTGAGAAAAAGTATTGAAGAAAGTTTTTATGTGCACTCTTTATGCGATGAACACAATTTTAACATAATATTAAAATTTTCAACAAAGAGCAAAGGTAACATATTAATAATTTGACAAGAGAGACCACTAGAAGTTCCACATATAAACATCTTGAACACATATGGCTCCATAAACAAAATACTGAGTTTTTTGTTTGTTTTTTTGTTTGTTTTTTTTTTTTTAGCTGAGCCATCCCGCCACCTGTTGGCAGCTCACGGCTGCTCAGCTCGGGCTGACTCGAACCGCTGTTGCTCAGAGCTCAAACTCTTGAGCGAGCTCTTAACCAACTGAGCCACTCAGCCGGCCCGAAAATACTGAGTTTTGAATTAGATGATTTCAATAATGCTTTCTAAGTCAATCTGTATATGTACAATTTGACATATAAAAAAGAAGTCAAGCTCTAAATTTAACACATCCTTAGGAAGACAATTTCCTATCCACACTCATGTCCTCTCTCTCAGTCCCTATAGAAAAGGATAGGGTACCTTCTACATGCAATCTGTCTTAGGTATCTAGTCCCTAATCATCCCTTCCTTTTCTAAATTTTTCCCTATCATCTTCAATTTGAGGGAGAAAATTTCAGATAAACGTGAGAATAACCGTTTCGCCAGAGGCAGAGTCAAAGCCTGTGGTTCCTCATTTTACCCAAAGTAAAAGGCAAATTATTTACCAGGGCCTGCAAGGCAATGCATGATTTGGCTCCCTTACTTCTCTGACCTCATTTCCTCTACTCTCCTTTTTGTCACTCTGGCTCCAGGCACACATTTTTCCTTACTATTCCATGAACACACCGGGCTTGCCTAGAACACTGACTCCCTCACTTAACTCAAGTCTTTGATCAAATATCACCTTCTGAGTGATACGTGTCCTGATTGTCCTATTGAAGATTGTAATATGTCCCTTCCCACAGCACCCCAACCCTCCATCCTCTACATTTTTTCCCAGACTGTTTTTTTTTTAAGGTTTTATTGGGAAATTGGGGGAGAGGAACAAAGTTGGAGAATCAGGGAAGGGGAACAGCCAAGTTGCTGTCCTTTTGTTCTTCAGCCTAGTTGTGGAGGACGTTGCTTCACTGGCCCATCTTGGTATTATCATTGTGTTCTTCCCCAGTGAGGCAGTCACTCGCCGGCCATTAGACAGGCACTCACGGTGGCTCACGGCAGCTCTTGGCAGCTCACAATGGCTGCCAGCCACTCACGGTAGCTTATGGCAGCCCACTGCAGCAGGGGCTGCAGCCTACCCTGTTGCCAGCAGCTCATGGCAGCCCAGCTCCAGGTCGAGCTGTTGTTCACCATCTTAGCTGTAGAGGGCACAGCATCACTGGCCCTCATGTGGGATCTGAACCGGGGCTCTGCTGCTCAGAGCTGGCGTCCCAAGCCAACTCCTAACCAGCGTGCCACTTAACTGGCCCTTCCCAGAGTGTTTTTAACCTTCTAATATACCATATAGTTTACCTAATCATACTTTGATTGTTTATTGTCCATCCCTTCTTTCTCGAATACTAACTCTATGTGGCAGAGATCTTTGTCTATTTTGTTCACTACTCAATCCCAAGCATATAAGACCTGGACTGGCACATAAGGGGCCCTCAGCAGACATGGCTGAAAGAATGAAGAACACAAGTCATCATGAGATTTGATTTAGTTATATAGTAAAACCTTGGATTGCAAGTGACTTGGTTTGCGAGTGTTCCAGAAGATGAGCAAACATTTCTAATATATTCTTTTTAAGATTTTTATTGGGGAATTGGGAGAGGGAAACAGTGCTGGGGAATCGGGGGAAGGGGAATAGACAAGTTGCTGTCCTTTTGTTCTTCAGTCTAGTTGTGGAGGACGTCGCTTCACTGGCCCATATTGGTATTATCATTGCACTCTTTCCGGATGAGGCAGATTGGTCGCCGGCTTCTGGACAGCCACTCATGGCGGCTCTCAGCTGCTCATGCTGGCTGCAGGCCACACACAGTAGCTTATGGCAACCCACTGCCACAGGGACTGCAGCCTACGTCATTGCCGACGACTCATGGCAGCCCAGCTCCAGGTCGAGCTGTTGTTCACCATCTTAGCTGTAGAGGGCAGTGTCACTGGCCCTCATGTGGGATCCAAACTGGGCCCTGCTGTTCAGAGCTGGCATCCCAAGCCAGCTCTTAACCAACGTGCCACTCGGCCAGCCCTCTAATACATTTTAAGGTGGTAAACGAGCAATGTCTTGCAATATGAGTAGTTTGTTTCTGGAACGAATTATGCTCGCAAACCAAGGTATTACTGTATATCAATACCTAGGGAATATACCTTAAATTCCACCCAGGACTATATAGCTTTTACTCACTACAAAAGCAATTCACAATTTTGAATCTTCCTAACTTACTGAGAATATTGTTGGGGTTACTGTGGGGTATAAGGAAAACATAGGGGGAAGTATGTGTTATTCTTTACCTCTCCCTATTTTTACCTGGTCAATCCATAACCCAAGAGAAAAACAGAGGAGAGTTAGACAGAAATGTCAACTGGAGAGAAAGCAAGGAGAAATGGTTTATAGATAACATTCCAGATAAACTTTTGCTTGACCAAGAAAAGTTTAGTTAAAATTATTTTTTAAAACATTTAAAAATATATTTTTACAAAATTAGAATAGAAGATACAAAATATTTTAATGTAAAGTCTTGTGTTTTCTTGGGTTTGAGGTTTCTGTTTTATGTATGGAAACATGTCTTTAAAACTTTATAGCAGGAGCACCATCTATACAGCAGATCACAGAGGCATGTTGCATTTTTAGTGAGTACATTGTTCTGGGAACTGAATAATGCAAGAAATATAATAAACCTTATGGTAGAAGCATTTTTATTGCAAAAAGACTAGGCCTTCGAAACATAATGTGCTTGATTACTTCTCATTTCCTTCTCGAAGACACTAATTAAGCTTTTACTTAAAGGATAGGGAAACAACATAGAGTAGTATGGAATGCTTTTCAAAATCTTTCATGTGTGGAAATAAAAAACGTTTTTACTCACATTAATTAACCATGTGATAATTGAGATAACCCAAGTTACTGTATAGTCCCACAGCCTGAAGGCTACATAAGTGAGTAGAAAATAATTTAGCTGAGGTTATCTTATCCATTGGTGAAAGCGTTCAGTGGGGAACCCCACAGTGAACATAATTACTCTACACTGGGGAGGAGATTACCAAGAAAAGGTAATCTGCCAGCCCTGACCCTTTGTTGGACAGTGACTCTCCAAAATAGTTTTTTATTTCTGCCATGTTGGGTAGAATGAATGAAGTTCTATTTTATTACATTTGTTTTTAAAACTATCAGTGTGAAAATAATAATTATTTGCCAAGTCTTATATTTCTACTACTTTCCAGAACTTCAATGTAAACAAAGAAAATTGATCACATTAACTTTTAAAAAAAATAAGTTTGGATGATATGTACCTGAAAGAATACAATATAGGAAGACCATAGCAAAAGGCTTTGCAAAGATATAAAAATCAGCAAAAGGAAAACAAGGGATTTCAATGCTATCAAGAAAACTGAGATTTGAAGTACATCATTGAGTCCCTTGATGAGTGATTTATGATGATAGGGGAGAGAGAGAGAGAGAGAGAGAGAGAGAGAGAGAGAGAGAGAGAGAGAGAGGTAAACAATGGAGAATGAGGGGGAGGTTCTCAATAAAAGAAAAATGCCAAAGGATACATGTAGAGATGAGTTGTGGAGTTGGAAAATTGATCATCTTATGACCATCCTAAGAAAGGTTTAGAACAAGAATCATCCATTGATGCTAAATTGGGGGTGGGGTGGGGAGAGAGATTGATGAGGAGCAGGATATTGGCATGCTCTTAAAGTATCTACTCCCAGATATCTTGTTAGTTATAAAATTGGAGAAACCAGATACCATATTGTCCAGGAAGTTAAAGTTAATATCACCAAAGAGAGACAAATGGACATCATATATCTCTGGGGTTATTCTGAGGATGACATAGCTTTATCTGTGTAGTGATCTGGCTGGAAGTTCACAGCCTGAATCTTAGCATAAACAAATATCTATCAAACCCAAGTTGAGGAACATTCTATACAATAACTGGCTTGTAGTTTTTAAAATCTCTTAGAAATATTTCATTAAGAAATCAACATCATTGAATTAACAAATGAGGGCAACTTTATTAGTATATATGCTGGACATGGGAAAACTTCCACATACTCCTCAGAGGATTTGGTGATATGAGGATGGTCTCTTCTGATTGTGTCTATTTTCTTAGTGAAATGAGAAGTGAGTCTTACACTGAAAGTGGGTTGAGGAGGTGTTTGTAGTTAAGAAGCGAGAACAAAGATGAAACAGTAATCTCAGAGAATGGAGAGGTGGCAAAATGCCTAAAGAAATGCATAATTTCCAAGCATTGCCAAGGGCCTCCACACTTAAGAGTATGGTCATTCATTTAAAGTGAGATCAGTCAGCATGACTGTGCATTTTTATCTAGCTACATTAACTCCTGGATACAATTCCAGGGTAGCCAAAATGTTGGAGTGCATCAGGCAATGGGGAAAGAAAGTGATAAGAAAGTTAACGATAGATGCACAGAAATAA